AGGTATCAGAGGATCTCAACTCTTGTTGGCCATGAATAGCCGTGAGTGGCCAACGCGAGTGGCAGGAAGCAGAGTCCTGGTCTGCAACGCTTCCCACCATTCATATTGACCATGAAAGCAATTCAGGAACAACAAGAGCCATGATCCTCCAACACCCGCAGAGACACATGTAAACATAGTTCCACCTGGAACTAATCCTGCAGGTCTGCTTTTTATTGCCCAATCCTGTGAGATGGTCTAAATTAGCTAATAACACTCAAGAAAGGAATCATGGAGTTGTAGCAGATAGCTGGAAACATCCACTCAAAGTGCAGAGGTAGTCAAAAAAACTAACTGAATGTTATCAACCATTAGGAATGGGACAGATAATAAGACTGTCAATATCATAATGCCACTATGTAAATTCATGGTACCTTGAATACTGAATGCAGTTCTGGTCACCTCATCTCAAACAGAATATATTAGAAATGGAACAGGTACAGAGAAGGGCAACAAAAATGATTAGGCATGTGGTACAGTTTCCATCAGAGGAAAGATCAAAAGACTGGAACTGTTCAGTTTGGAAAAGAGACGGCTGAGGCGGGGAGGGTATGATAGACGCCTATAAAATTCTAAATAATCTGGAGAAAGTGAATAAGGCATCATTGTTTACCCCGTCTCATAATACAAGAACCAGGGGGCATCCAATGAAATTAATGGGCAGCAGATTTTAAACAAACAAAAGGAAATATTTCTTCATACAACACACAGTCAATCTGTGGAGCTTGTTGCCAGGGGATTTTGTGAAGGACAGAACTATAACTGGGTTCAAAAAATAATTAGATAAGTCCATAGCGGAAAGGTCCTTCAGTGGCTATTAGCTAATTTGGTCAGGGCTTGAATTCCTTACCTCCTTATTGTTAGTATTATTTGTGTTTTGAGTATCATGTGTAAGCCAGGGGTCTGAAGGACTGCTTGCAATGCATCCAGCTGAAGTTGTTTAGCCCTGCAAGATAATTAACTGTTGATATGCAAATACAACTCATGCTGGAATGGGGAAGGAATCCGGGGTTTATGTAAATCCAATTCAGCCAGGCCTATGGAGGACTGGTTGTTAGAATGCAATGTGATGTATTGTAATTAATTTGGGCTGTTGTGGGGTCAACAGATCATGCTGCCCCTAAATGTGGGAACTGTAAAATATGACACCAGTACTTGCAGTAGAGACATGATCATTGTAAGGGATCTCAGATGAACAAGTCTCCCCCCTTCCAGAGTTGAGTGAATTGAGTTGGGGGGAAAGGGCTTGAGCGAGCCATCCTGCTTCATGCCTGCCAAGTGTGAGTGGTAAGACTTGTTCAGCCTGCCCCTTTTCTCTGTACCCTTCTCCCCCTTGTTCTAACCTTAGACCTAAAGCAGACACTATCAGGAGTCTTTTTGCTATTCCAGTGGAAGCTGGAATCTTTTGACAGCCTAGGTGGTGGCTACAGTGTTGAAGTCACAGGTTTGGTCCAGTGCCAGACCCATTGCAGCCAGCAGAGTGGCTGGCGGGACGGGTGGCTGGTAGGAGGAGAAGCTGGTGGGAACAACCGGCGGGCGGCCAGCAGAGTGGCTGGTGGGAATGACCAGTGAGTGGCCAGTAGGAGCAGCGGCAGGTGGAGCAAGAGGACCACAGGAGCAGCACAAAGGTGGCATGGCCTCAGGCTCAATGAGTGGAGTCATCAGGGTGATGTGTCAGGGTCTGCACTGACTGGACAGAGCTGTGAGTGGGGCACTTCAAGTGGAGAACGGAGAAAGCTGGGTAAGTGAATGGAACCCTTACCTTGTTGGACTAGTGAGCCTGAGAGGCAAAGGACATTGCTCAGTCTATTTGAGCTGGGACGGTTACTTGTGGGGGATTATGAACTCTGTTCATGGTATTTTCCCAAGCTAATGTCATGTAACCTCTCTCCCTCTTTCATTAAAAGTTTCTTTTCTACACTCAGACTCTGTGTTTGCAAGTGGGGAAACATTGGCACTCAGGGGTGTGTGAATTTCCCAGGCTACTGGGTTGGGGCTCAAGCTGGTTCTGTGTGAGATGGATGAAAAGGGACCCCTAGATATTGAACCCAGCCCTGGCTGTTGCTGGCACTACCTGGCAGAAAGGTTACACATGTCAAGACTGAAATAAACTAGGTATTAAACACCTCAATTGTCTTGATGCCATCAGTTTTTAGCTCTCCTTCCCCACTAAGCAGAGGACCTTCAGTTTCTTTCAGCTTGCTCTTGTGCCTTCTATTCTTGAAATAACTCTTCTTACCTTGTATGTCTCTTGCTAACTCATTTTGCGCTTTAGCTCTCCTGAGTTTGTCTCTATATGCTTGTGTTATTATTTTTTATTCCTCTTTAGCCATCTGTCTGTGTTTCCAGTTTTTGTACGATTTCTTTTGATTTTCTGGTTATTAAAATGTTCCTGATGAGCCCATATTTACCCTCTCTTATTCTTCCTTTCTTCTATCACAACAGATGACAGTTGTTCTTCTTTCCTTAGACTTTCCTTAGACGCATGAAATCTGTTATTTCATAATCACTTTCACCCAAATTGCCTTCCAGTTTCAAATTTGCCTTTAATTCCACCTCTTGTTGGTCAGAATCAAGTCTAAAATGGCTGTCCCTCTGGTTACTTCCTAAGAACATAAGAATGGCTAGAGAACTCTCTGCAATTACTCCAAAATCTCTTGCGCAGCAACAGCTAATTTTGACTCCATTATTATGTGTAGTTGGGATTATGTTTTCCAGTGTGCATTACTTTGCATTTATCAATATGGAATTTCTTCTGTTATTATGTTGCTTAGACACCCAGTTTTATGAGATCCTTTTGTAGCTCTTTGCTGTCTGCCAGGTTGTGCAGGGATGATGTCCTTAGCCTCTGTTTGCAGAACCTGGGAATGGGCAACAAGGGATGGATCACTTGATGATTACCTGTTCTGTTCATTCCCTCTTGCGAACCCTGGCTCTGGCTAGTGTCAGAAGACAGGATACTGTGCTAGATGGGCTTTTGGTCTGTGTTAGTATGGCCGTTCCCATGTTCTGCTTGGGTAGTTTTGTATCATCTGCAAATTTTGCCACCCCACTGTTTTTCCAGATCATTTATGACAGGGAATAAGACTGGTCCCAGTATAGACTCCTGGGGGACACCACTATTTACCTCTTTCCATTCTGAAAAGTGACATGAAATTAGTATTGCACAACATTCTAGATGAGAACACAATATTGGTTTATATAATAGGATTTAATGTTTTCTGTTATTTCCACCGTGTTCCTTATTTATACTCACATCTTGTTTTCTTTTTTGAGAATGGCTTTATGTTGAACAGAGGTAATCACCAAGCTATTCACAGTGATCATCTAGGCCCTTTCCTGAGCTGATGCACTTTATTTAGAACCCTGTAAGGTGGTGTAATATAACAGGTGGTCTGGGGGCACCACTGTGAGGGTCAAATCAGGGCAAACTGCTTAGAACCAGGGCTATTTACAGCCCCAAACTGGGGTCGTTCTCCTATAACTATAAGGCACCAAACCAGTCACAAAGAATACTCCAGCTGCCACTCTGACCAACAATAAGTCTTATAAGCAATCCCACCCCCCTGCCCACACATACACACCTTTGGCACCCCTGAGTTACCTGTGCCTCAGCCTGCACCACTCCTTACACAAATGAGAGGTTATAAAACCAATCTCACCAACTCTGAACAGGTTCTCCCACTCCCAAAGGATCAGCCACAGTCCCATGGCAATTTATACCTCAGATCTTACCCAAAAGAGCACACTGGACCAATCCTTTAGAATCTAACATCTGAAGGTTTATTAAAAAAAAAGAAAGAAAAGTTGAGAATAGAAATGTTAAAGAAAGCACATTACATACATCAATAGCCAAGTTCCTGATACAGGCTCTTAGCACAGATGTAACAAACTGCTGGCTTAAAAGTCTCTGGAGTACATCCTATGTTAGGATGGATCAACTCAACACTCCTTCCTGGCTGGCTTTCTTTAGCACAGTTGCTTCTAGAACAGAGAGCAAGAGCGAAGACAAAGATGTAGGAACCCTTAGGATCCTTTTATAATCTTGCCCTTGAGGAGGGAAATCCATTGTTCTCCTGAGTGACGGTACCTCCCAAAATGGAGCTGATCACATGATCAACCAACCTGTCCATGTCCTTTTTAGTGCAACGAGCCATGAGCTGCCTGCTGGTCTGCAGGTTTGCATCAGAATTACTCAGGTGTTAATTGGCAACATTTATGAGCCATTGTCCATGTCATTCACTGGGCCACCACTCCTCACAATAGGTGGGCAACACATGCTGCTTACTTCCAGACAGAAAACATTTAAAATACAAGTACAGATCCTATATTCATAGCTACACATACAAAAATCATACATGTATACGAGTAACATAAATAGAATCAGGAAAGCACAAGCTTTCTTTAGACACCTCAATTGGCCCACTTTGAACAGAATTTGGGGAAAACACACAACAGTGGGTGCAACAATGATCTACATTTTCTTATCAAAATCAAATAACGTGACACATGGGTATATGAAATAATTAGGTATCTCCCTGTAGTGTGAACCAGTTTATATGTATCAGCATTACATTTTATTTAGCACTGTGTTACCCATTCACCTTCCTCTGAATTTCAACACAATCCTCTCTGGAATTGACTAACTTGAATAACTTTGTCATCTGAAAATGTTGCTGCCTTTCTGGTGACAGTCTATCACACACAAACACAGACTGACTATCTGAATATTTAAGGGAGTGTGGGACAACTTATGTGGAGGACAATATGCACTGGAACTCATACCCCAACCTTACATCCTACTAATGCTGTAAATGAGTCGATCTGGATTCTTTACAAGTTTTCTTACCTGTATCTGGCTGTGCACATCTAAGTTTTGATTGGGCAGCAGCCAGAGCACATTAGCATATAGTATCTGATCATGGAATAGAGTACAGCTACCTAGACTTAGTGACTAAAGGCAGAGAGCTCTGTCCTCAAAGAATCTCTTCCTTCAGATGACACCACATCAGTTTCACCCACATAACAAGCTGAGGAGGTAAGATATGTGATAGAAGTCCTAACTGGTGGTTGACTGAGGATTGCTTTAAAAAAACCGAAGGATACAAACATATTTACCATAAAGTAAAATTTAAATTTTGTAATGTTGATGTACTTCAGTCAGAAGATAAACAAATAGCAATCAAAATAATTAAAAAGCTATAGTGCAAGTCTATTACTAGAAATTTTGCAAGTATTTCAGACCATACCAACAACTAACTATACAACATTGTTCCCTGCAATTGTCTTCTATTCTGTATTAATAAGCCATCATTTGTCATTCACTGAATTTTAAAGTAATAGTTCTTTATTCTTTTTTCTTTGGCAAATGAATATAAAAGGAAATTGCTACACTATAAATTGGTAAGGATTCATTCTAATGAAAAAAATATTAAAACTCAATTTTCAAGCCAGTTTGTTTTGAAAAGTATTTGAAGAAAGGATTGGATTATCTTTCTGAAGTATATAACAGGTCATTTAGTATTCCAGGATGCTTAACATTCAAGGGTAATTTGTTTCACAAATACAGCACAACTTTCCAACGCAATTTACATGTTAGATTGTCTGTTCTAATTTTACTATCCCTGTCTGCAGCAATGACTATATTAGTCCTCATCATATAATATGAGACTCTATAAAGACCTGCTGTTTTCTATAGCCCTTGGTATGTAGCTCTCGTAAAGCAGCTTTTCCCAAAATAAGATTATTCTAACATCTTTTCTGGAGCAAAAAATGAATTAGTTGCTTAGTAAAAATTAAATTGCCAATCAAATCACTAAGCAATTGATATTAAATACCATGTGTCATGTTTAGCGTCTTTTTGCATGCATTTTACTGTGAATATCAGATCCGAGCAATGTGTAATCCACTTACTCCTTCACCATTGATATGTTCTGATTTATTTATTGGAGAGTGATACTTCGAATATACTGTTTATGTTACCTTTCATCCATGGATCTCAAAATGTTTTGCAAATATTCACTGAGCCTCATAACACTCCTTAGAGGTATTATCAAACTCATCTCTTGGCTAGGTAAACTGAGGCACCTCTCCACTTGTCACTTGCATAGCCAATAACAATAAAATAATGTCTTAAGTACCCTATTCTAGGTATTAGACAAACTCTCTAATACATTATTATGCTACAGTTATGTATTTCACCACTCAGCATTCTACATCTGATCCTTACATGGCATAAATAAAAGTAATGAAGATAATGAAGCTATGACAATTTTTCCCATCTGAAACTTTTCAGATTTGCCTTCTCTCTCAGAAATAATAATGATTTCCCTCAAGAAAAAGATTTTTTTATATGTGTGCACATTGCTGAAGTGGTACTATGCTTAGCTAATCCTGAAATTATGATGGGAAAGCATAAGAAATTGCATGTGAAATATATGGAATGCCAACCATCATTTTTAACTAACATCCCAAATTCTCTTTTTTTGTCGGCTAGTTGAGATAGGCTGCCCAGTGCTACCCATTTTTAACGGCTGGGCTCTCAGAAATGCATGCAATTTTTGACATGGCCAAGAACCATTTCAACTGAAATGATGTAACAGAGTCACCCATTGCTCCACACTTTTGTAATGTACAGTATGAGGAAATCCCAGCATGTAACTAACAAGAAAAAGAGGCCTTAGCAAGTGCTGAGCGTCTCAGTCATTTTGGCTCTGAAAAGATAGGGCAATTCTGATCTCACTTACAAAGAAGCATGGGAGTGGAGTTATACGAACATAAATTTGGACTGAAAAGAGAATGCACGAAACAAACCATATATAAACCCACCGTGAGCTTTCAGTTAATGATGCCTCCATAAGATCACATTCTATCTCAAAGCTATATTTTCCATGGCTTTGTCTGCTTGCAAAACTTTTAATGGAACAAGTTTTTCTGGCAGAAGAACACTGATTTTTATCTTTAATGGGCAGCCTCTCTATCGCTTAGCTTCAGGAAACAGCTTCCTCAGTGTAAACTGCCTGAGAGCGGTGACAGCTAGTCAATTTCAAAAGAAGGCAGTGGAGATTTGCTTGCTGAGTTTGGGAAGGAATTCCGAAATGCTGAAAGTTGCAGATGATATTATGGACCAGGAGGACGCCACTTCTCAAAGTGGAGAAATGACAAACTGGGATATCAATGACATCAAACTACCTCAGGTACGTGTGTGTGTGTGTTAGAAGTTACCAATCATGGAATACCTTCTGAAACATCCATATTTTATCATCTTTCCTCATTTGCCACTTCCCCAGTCCCCATCCTCTAGATTGCAAAAGGCATTTTGTTGAATAGCTAGAAAATTATTCTTTAAAACATTTAAGCATTCATACATGTATCTTTGAATTATACACCCAAAAGAACTCTCTATGTTACAAGAAGTGGTGATATTAAAGTTTCACTAGTTCTCTGGTCCACTGGTTGAATTAAACAGCTGGTCAATATTTTATTTTATCCTCTCTGTTGAATGTCTTATTTATTACATACCATTCACTCATGCTCTGAACACATAATTATTAATTTTCTCAATGGTTTAGAACTGTAATATCTGAGTGCTGCACTACAATAATGAATTTATTTTCACAATAGCACTGTGAAGCAAGGAAATGGTATTATCCCATTATATAGATGGTATCAGAGGCACAGAGATTAAGGTAAAAAGTGATCAGGAACTTCGGGTGTCTAGTTTGAGATGCCTAGGACTTGATTTTTCAGAATACTTTGCACTATATCACATTTTATCTGTTCAAAAAGCACAGAAGCCACTGATTTCATTTGCAAATGTGAGCACTCCACACTTCTGCAAAGCAAAGCCAGGTTCAGTCTGGGTACCGGACACTTTTAATGTAGTTTTGTATGTGTGTAATTTCTTGGGTTTAAAAAAAAAAAAGCAAGCTGAAAAAACTGAAACTCCAATAAGTGGCAACATATTGACACTAACATGGGTTATCAGCATTGCAGGGAAGGGGTCAGATAGGGTGGGGTGGAAGAAGAGCATGGGCAGGGCCATAGGTGCTGGAACTATGGGTACGGGGGGAGGGGAGAGTGCTGCAGCACCCCTGGGCTTGAAGTGGTCTTCATCATAAACAGGATTTATAGTTTGGTTCAATGGCTTTCAGTACCCCCACTATAAAAATTCTTCCAGCACCCTTGGGCAAGGCCTGGGGCAGAAGTCAAGCTCCCCTCACCTGGAGGGGAAGTCAGCACCTATGACAGCAGATGAATAGTGATCCCTCAAGCTCTTGATACCAGTCCCAGTTTCCCTCTTCATGCTCCCCATCTGAGTCTGAATCTTCCTCTACATCAATTTCAAGTTTCAATCTCCCTTCCTGAGCTTCTCATCCTAACACCCCCACAGGCTCCTTGTCCCAATCTCCTTGCCAAGCCAACTCAGTCCCTCACCCACTGAACCCAAATGCCCCCATCCAATCATTCTCCCTCCCAAACTGACTCCCACTCACAATTACCCTCAATACCCATCCTCCCTTGTCCAAATCGATTGCCTGATCTGGCCCTCCTCCCACAGGTCCACTTCTTGTCCCATCTGTATTTTGGATTTTTTTTTCTTCTGAACTGACTCAAGAACACTTATACCAAGCTTTTCTACACCAACAAAGCCAGAAAAATGCCATTTTGGAAGCACTGAACCATAATATTTCCAAAAGTAAATATTTGAAATTGACATTCTTCTTGATTTCACTGCTTCTATCTGTGCTAATAGCCATGAAACTGACAAGAATGTCACTTTTATTCAGCAGCAATCTGGATCCCCACGTCTGCTGGTCCAGGACAGCATCACCATGTAGACCCTACATGGTGGGGACCCTAGGCTTCCAGATACTTGAGCCTACTCAGGTGTACAGTATATGAGGGAGCCAGCTGGCCTGGGAATCTGGAAACTCTGGGCCCCCCCAGTGTGGAGCTGTCTGGATGGCAAAGCTGTCCAGCAATCATGAATACTGGAAGCTCAACACAGGCCTTCCAACACCCAATTCTGAAGCAGTTTGGAAGACCTTAGCGTGAGTGGGATTCATAGGACTGCCAGGCTCTAAATCTATTAGCTGAGCTGTGTCTAAAGTCAGGGCACCTTGAAGTCTGATGTGATGCAACTGAAATTCATACTTTCAGAGTTCTAGGCCTCACACCCAGAGAGAGGAGCTGAGAGTTCCCTCCAGCTAGGGCTTGTAGGCTCAGAGCTCCTGGGCATTTTAAGCTTGGGACTTCTGAAAAAACAAAACAAAACAGTGCTTTGATGAGACTTGTTCATGTTGTCACAATCTGTTTCTGATAAAGGCATCAGAGTGTTTTTTTGGTTCTTTATAATCTTTTTACATTTTCTTCTTGTCCTGACTGTAGCCCTTGTGTTGATGTCTGGCTGGCCCCTTGCTAAAATGTCATTCTGTTTGTGTCATTTTATATTTGTTGTTTACAATATATATTTTAACTCAGCCTCTAACATGGGTGGGAACCTAAGGCTTGGGGGACAGATGCAACCCCTGGCTTGCCTGGATCTGCTCCCCGAGACTTGGGACTCCCCTCCTTCCCTCAGCACTAGGGAGACCGTGAAGCTGGAGCACACAAAATCTACTAGCCTGGGCCTCCAAGCTCTAGCGTGTGAGGGGATGTGGGACGTGACTTTCTCCTTCTCGGAGCGGAGACATCAATGAGGGCTTGGGGTTTTTTTTCTTTTGCTTCTCACTTGTGTGTGGCCTATGGATGGATTTTTCTGTGAGTCAGCAGCCCCCTCAACCCAAAAAAGGTTCCCCACCCTTGCGCTAACAGAAAAATAAGCTCTGAATGAAATGTTGTATATTGGGGTGAAGGGGAGAGGTTTACGTTAAAACAGAAATATGATCTAAGAACTAGCATTTGACCTGAATAAAACACTGCATGAGGAAGCTCAGGAAGGTTTGAAGGAGTCTGGATATACTTCAGTGCTCATCCTCTCTCTATGAAAAGTCAGGCTAAACCAAAAGCAAACTCTTGGCTCTGATTGCAAACTGTGCAATGCTGTAAAATAATAGCAGTGGTGAAGCAAGCCATGGAGTGCACAAGAAATTATCCAGCTCATAATTGCTAAGTTTCAGGGCTGTGTAGGAAACGTCATTTAAAATAGGCGGCTTAACTCCACTTAGTGTATGACCTTCAATTCCTGAGGCTTCTCTGCACCTGACTGGGCCCTGGGATGAGTGAGAGCAGCCTGGAGGCCAAGGACTGTTTTGACAGCTGATGAAATCCTTGGAGCAAAGGGGAACTGCGGCCATGGTGCCCATCCATCCCCCAAGCGTATTCTAAAGGAATCCTCCTGTTACTGGCTAGCCTGGATTTAGGCCTGCAACACACTGCCAGAGTGACAATCTAGCCTATTGCTTTCACAATGAGAAACTACTTTCTTCCTTGACTAAAATGTGTCATTTTTTGGGTTCTTAACAGGAGGTGAAACAAACAGATTGGTTTCAAGAATGGCCAGATTCCTATGTAAAGCATATCTACAGCTCAGATGATAAAAATGCTCAGAGGCATCTGAGTAGCTGGGCGATGAGAAACACCAATAACCACAACTCTCGCATCTTAAAAAAGTCCTGCCTTGGGGTAGTGGTCTGCAGCAATGACTGCTCGGCCACAGATGGGAGGAAGATATATCTGAGACCGGCCATATGTGATAAAGCCAGACAAAAACAGCAAAGTAAGTATGAATATGTAGAGATGGCAACACCTGCCTTAGTTCTCATTAATTCCCTACTTAATGAAAGATTATAATATCATAGAAATTAGAGATGGAAGAGACTTATTGCAACATCCATTCTTTTCCACTGGGATTGCAACAATGTTCCCTATTGTTAAACACAACTTGTATATTTCAGAGGAATTCTAGTGAGTATTGTTTCCTTTTTTATTTTTACTGATTTGGCTTCTCAAAACTTTCTTTTGTAGCCTGGCTTGTCTTAAAAGTCAGCCTGTGCTGTCTATTTAGCGTTAACTAAGGCTTGATACAGATGAGTTCCTGGAATACTAATTTGCATAGGAACCTCATTTCCATAGGAAAATATTTTAATTTAAAGGTAACCTCCAAAGGAAAAAATGAGCTGATTTTTTTAATGATGTAGAAAAAATATTTTTCTAAAGAAAAGATTATTTTTAACTCGTTTCTCTGTTAGAAATTCAGCTCCTGTCTATATTGACAGATTCTATAATGACAGGAAAAGGGGACAACACAAAAGCTGAGAGATCAAAAGTTGAATAATTGAGAAGAGAAGGGATTTGTAGTCAGACTTGTTAAAATTCTTTTTTGATTATTTGGTTTTATTAATGGTGCCTAATGAACATTTTGCATAAGGGAAATTTTGTTAAAGACTTTAATTAAACTTAAGCTTGAAAAGAATAAATTTTATCGATAGAAGTCAGTAAACTTTGATTTCACAGTGCACATATTAATTGTTAAAAAAATCCTTCAAAAATAATGAAAACTTACTGATAGGCAAAGTAAGAAGAATGCTGATTGAGAACATACTAGAGTTTGGTTTAAGGATATTTGCTTTGCATATTTTACATGTGATGTTATCCCCCTGATAATTTTGCAAAACTATTCAAATTTAAATCAATAAACATTTTTAAAATGCTGAAAATTAGCATCTATATTATCCATTGAAATTTATTTTTAAAAATAAATCAGATTCTTCCAAATCTAGCTGAAGTTTTGGAATCCATAATAAATATCCCTGAGCTCTCACAGGGATATTGGTCTCCCAGCCAAATCAGGGAAGATCAGACTTGAAATTCCTGATATTTTTAAATAGAGCTTGTTGAAGTTTGGATCCTCTGTTCCTCAGGAATTCTGACATTTCAACATTTCTGTTCTTCCCACATCACAATGAAAAATCAACAGTTCTAAATTTCCCATGAAAGAGAATTGCCAAAAAAATGGGTTACAGAAATATCTAAATGACCCGATCAACATTTTTTTGTTTTTATAAGGTTGAAGTTCTTTGTTGCAACATTTATCATTCAAAATATATTAGTTGAAATGATAAATTAAAGTTGGGTTAAAAAAAGAACTAGAGATGTTCATGAAGAATAGGTTCATCAATAGGTATTAGCTAGGATAGTCAGGGACGCAATCCCATGCTCTGAAAGTCTCTAGCCTCTGAGCAGGCGATGGGTCACTGAATAATTGCCTGTTCTGTTCATACCCTCTGAAGAACTTGGAAATGGCCACTGTTGGAAGACAGGATATGGAGCTATATGGACCTTTGGCCTGACCCAGTATGGCCATTCTTATGATAATTTTTCAATGAACATTTTGATGAAATTGGCGCAGTTTGACAAAACATTTATTTTATTGAATCAGCATTTTCCAGTGGAAAATTTCTTTCAGAAAAATTTTAATCAGGCCTCCTTCTCAGTTGAAAAACAATCAGAAGACCAAAACCTTCATTGCCCAAAATATTAATTGCTCTTTTAAAAATAATTCAATGAAAAACCAAAATAGGTCAAAAAGTACAATTTTTAGAAATATCCATTGCAGATCACCTTAACCATAACAGGAGAAAGGTCCTTCTTTGCCAATGTTTGATTTTTCTATATGTACGAAAGGGTTTTTTGCACAGGTCTATTCAATACATCTTTTGAGCACACAAGCACTGTAGTGTAAGGTAACATTCCACTGCAAATGAACCATTCTCACCGATTCAATTCATCTGACTGCTAGATGCCCTGCACAGATGAAAATGTATCCTCCTACCCTTGTTCCAGGGAAATGCTGTCCAAACTGCAGTGGACCTTTAAAGCTTATTTCCTGTCGAGGCCATGGTGGGTACCCTGTCACCAACTTCTGGAGGCATGAAGGGCCATTCATATTTTTTCAGGTTGGTGTAAAATAGTTTTATCCAGACCAATTTAAAAAGGTATTTAATCAGGTTAACTGAAAACAGAATGGACTAGATCTCTGTGAGCTAATGTACTAAAAATAACAATGTAGATGTTGTTGTGACACAGGTGATGGCACAGACTAGCCACTCGAGTACAGACCCAGGAAGGTCAGGCAGGCTTGTACTTACCATCCACACTGCTATTTTAGCATGCTTGCTAGAGCAGATCTAGCCTGTGTCTATCCAGGCAGGGTGATGTTTTCCCAGCTGCAATGCAGACATAATTTAAAGTATTATAAGACAAAGCCCTGACCCTTACAGCTTCAGAAATGCTGTTTTGCTGCTACATCCTTCCCAGAATGCATCATGCAAGACTAAGGATTTCTTAGAGCGGTAAGGAGTCATACCAAGCCTTTGTAAGTGGTAGCCCATCATATACACACTGTACTTTTTAGGATTTAGTAGCAATTGCACAAAAATTTCAATAATGGGCCAGATCTTGACTAATGTAAACAGATTTTGTAAAGCTTTCCTCTGACCCTTTGGGAAATATGCAGTTTTGCTTTGTTTGTAAGTACTTGTTCTCCACTACCATAGTATATGAGCACTTCATAATGTTTACCATATTTGTCCTGAGGACACTACCCTGTGCAGCAGATATTATCCACATTTTACAGATGGGGAACTGAAGCAGAGAGAAGCTCAGAGACTTGCCAAAGATCACTGAGGAAATCTGGGGCAGAACAGGGAATTGAACCCTAGGTCTCTTAAGTCTAAGGCTAAGTTCTGAACTATCCTTCCTCTCCTCTAGGTCTTTGCACCTGCTGGAGACATTGCCAAACATATTTAGTTTTAATAACTAGCATACTGCATTTACAAACATGCATATCAAGTTAATTCTCAAAGAAATAAAGATAGAAATGAATTTTCAGATTAATCATACTATATATCTATATAGTATATATATAAATAAATCTCCCACGAGGGAAACTTTCTTACACATCTAAGTTCTAACTGACAGCACCACTGCAAGTGTGGACTCCGTTGAGAAGAGCCCTGCATGTAAATGTTGTACAATGGTTTTGTGATTTCCGCAAATGTCCACTAGCAGCAGACCACCCTATTCTGTTTTGCTGAGTTGCATGCATCTTGTGAGGTGTAAGACTCTAACCACTGCGACACAAAGACCTTAGATGGATTTTACATACATACCATAAGTTCTGAACTCCTAAATTTACTATTTGAGCTCTGTTTTAAACTTGAACTTAACCCATTCCTTTTTAAAGTCTAAGGGGGCCCATGATCACCCAAGACCAGAAACCAAACTAGAAGCAGAAGCAAGAAGATCAATACAGAAAGCACATACAGCTGTTGCTCCCATTTCTGCAAGGCTAAAAAGATGCCGGGAGGCTGAGGTAACATTTATGATTAATATACAAAACATAGAGGGATTGTCCTATGTACCATGCTGCTTGAGTTACCTGGACCTTGGGTCTGAGAGTCAGCAACCTGGGCATGTACCCCTGAATAAAAACTATGGCCAGATTCTCTCTTTCCTTAGAAAAGCCCTCAGAAGTGGAGACATCTGTCTTTGTGGCTTTTGCCTCAGCGCTCTCCCCAGATTTTTGTGTTGTGGGGACTCTCACCCTGCAAAATGAGCTGGGATTTGGCCAAAATAACCGGCAAAGCTCCATGATGTGTAGCTATCAAGGATCCACAAGAGGCATAGGACTCTACAGCTGTACAGTAGCTCCAGGTTCCATCCCACCACCACCTCCTCCAGCTACCTCACCATGCTATTCCAAACGGGAGCTGTGCTGCCAAGACATTCTCCACTTGCTGTGCAGGTCCTATTAATGATGTCAAGGGGGCCGCACATAAAAGTTAATGTTGTCTCACCTTGAGTTCAGTTTCTATGGATTCAGCAGGGATGGTGAGCAATAACGTGCATCCTTCATGCTTAGCCAGTGTTTCTAGACCCCTGGAGATTCTCTGCAGAGCTGAGAGAAGGTTAATTCAGAGGCGGCTGTTCCCTGCCCTGACTCTGGAAATGGTGAGAACCACACGCAGCATCCATGCACAGATCTCAAGACTATAATCCAGCCCAGAATAAGGAAGTCAGGTTGGTCAGCAGAGCTATTGGCATTCTTTGAGCGAGGTCACATTATAGGTACATGTATATATCACAGGTACCCAGCTGCACCTGCTGTTTGGTGGATGAAAGACAGTGACACTTATCACAGGTCGGGTGTTAGACACTGACACACCTTCTGGGTGCTGAAAGATGGTATGAATCCTTTCCAGAGGGAGCTAACTACCTCCCAATCTCTCAGTTCTTCATGAAAGAATGTGGCGAATCGGTGAATCCTTGAAACTCCACAGAATGGAGTCAAAGATAGAACAGTGGAGATTAAAGCAGCTAGAATGAAACAGTGATGTGGAAGATCTAAGTGATTTAGTGAAACTATGCTGGGAGGGTATGACAAAGTGGAGTGAGTGGGAGAAAATGACTTCTGAGGCAATAGGGAGAGAATACAAGATGCAGTATTGAGGCAGCTAATGTCTGATACGAGAACCAGGGGATATGAACTTTCGAAAAAGCCAATGAGTCTATATGTAAAACTCGGAAAAAATGATCTAGAAAAAATGATTCTCATGGTTTCGATTCTGTCCTTATTTGCTGAGGTGCAGTTCTTCCCCCACAATGGCACAAGATTTGCCATTTTTCCTGTGTGCTTGATCCTGCTATTCAAACTCAGGCAAAACTTTCATTGTCCACTTCTCAGTTCTTCTCCCATTAACGTCCATGAGAGTTTGGGCCCAAGACTCCATAAATACATGCTATTCGAGTCGGATCCTCAGCGGTGTAAATAAGTATAACTGTTTAATTGCTCACCTGCTTCTGTTTCTCTCAGGCTCATTTGTTCCTGCATGTGTTTTTCTTTTCTTGAAATCATGATCCCTGTCACATGTTGACAATTCCGACAACTAGCTGTGAGGTCACAGAAGATTGTTGACTTTAGATGAAGAATAACTTACTGAAGCAGAAAAATCTTTCAAAAAATAGGGGAGAACTATAAAAAATTTATGTGATCTAGAAATGGAACAATTTTCAATAGAATGTTTTTAAACTTTTCCATATGGCATCAGCTGGTTTTCAACTATGACAGGGCTGGGCCCTAAAGAATGTACATTCAGTGAAATTTCCTCATACAGATATTTCCAGAATATGTGAAGGGAGTTTTATTGTGGCTGGATCCATCAAGTCATAAAGTTGCAGTAATTAAAAGGATGCAAAAATAAAATGACAAAGAACTGTAAGCACTAATCATTAAATATACACAAAAAGAAGGTGTTCTGTAAGAAATTAAACCTTGTAAAATTATAATCCAATAATAAGAGTACTTAAAGAGATTGCAAAACTCCCAAAAACTATGCTTAGCAGAATACTTTCAGTGTGCAGCAGCTTCATTGAATGAAACGGACATTTGTGAAACTCTGAATTTTAAAAAAATTAAAATGTCAATTAAAATAAGTGGTAATACTTTTACAGATTTCTGAAGAATAATATTTATTGGGTTGAAAAATATCAACTTAAACAAAATGTATCAACCTTTAAAAAAAAACACTTTCTTATTCACCTGCAGCAAAGTTCCAAAGAAATAGGTAGATTAGCCTCTGTGATAATGAAACTGCTGTTTCAATACATTTACTAACAAGTATTATTTTGCTACATTCTAGATTTTTGATTCTAGGTACATTTTCCATTAAGTCTTTGGAGGCTGAGTTATCTATATTTACATGGCCACCATCAGCACAACCCTGACCTGAAGTACTATTTTGACCATTTTACAGACAGGATGGAATAATTATATGACTTGCCCAAGGTTATACAGGAAGGCTGTGTCAGAGAAGAGAACCCAAATCTTAAAAGTCCCAGATTAACATCTGAACACCATGGCCATTCTTCTCCTTCCTTTGCTGGTTTTGCTTCCTTTTTTTCTATTATGGAGAAATAGACACTAGTTCAAAGGAAGACACTCCGCTGGATGGGTTTCTTTCTAATTTAAATTTGCTTGTACTGTGCCATCAGCCTCCTAAAATTCACCATTCTAGATCCATAATATTAACATAATCCAAGGAGAGAAGAAATATAAACCAAGATGTACTTTGGTACTCTGACTGGTTTTGTTTTGTTGTTTGTATTAACAGAATTAATTGCTGTGGGTTAATCATATGGATTTATTTGTCTGTTTTGTTAAATATTACATTTTATTTTTCTTTCTTAAGTCCCTGACAGGTAAGATGCAAAGTCAAGGAGCTTTGCCTTTACTTCTTTCTAATCAGGAAAATTACCTATCATCCTGCAGTTTTAATGGACATTTAATAGACAAACACCCTCAAGAGCAAGTAATAAATAACTGTTTGTCTCTTGCCAAAAGCTATGGTTTTGGAAGAACCCCTTACCTAACAGAACACTCTCAGGACATAGGATCTAACAAATACTATGAGAAGTGCAAAGAAATTGGCATGAGGGAATATGTTAGTGGAGACCTGTCTGGAACTTCTTTGAGCAATATGCATACTGACTATGGAGAGTCACAAGCCCAGAATAAGAACACTACCCTTGAAAGGAATCCACGTACTGAGAAGTGTTGCAATGGTTCTGCCTTATCTTTGGCTGATCTGCATTGTGAAATTGCTCCTTCACAAAACTGTACGGATTCCAGTATCGATCATGTTCCCAATATGCCACCTACAACAAAGGCCGGTTACCATCCTTCCAGGTCTAACACAGGCTTGTCTGGAGATGATTTTTATGAAGGGAAACTGCATGTGAATTACAACAACAGCTACATCCCTTCTTCTTTGAACCCGCTCACTCCGGAGGATCCCTACCTCATTATGAACTCTGCACATCACCATCAACAGCCTTTGCTACACACTAAAGGAAATGAATGGGACTTTGAAGAAGAAAGAAAATACACCAATCTGGATTACTGCAACAATGAAATGTTTTTTAGTCTCTACCCTTTGTGGTGATCAGGTGTATAATGTCCCCTCTTTCTTGCACTTGTAAAAGTGAGCCTGATTCTCTGCTCTGTGTAGCGTGGATGTAAGATGCTGCCTTTCTGACTGGGCAGCCCTTTACCCCCTCACTCGACACAAGCATAAAAGACTGCACAAAGGTTGATAAGCAAGCTCAGAGAGTAGAGCCACCCTGCACCTTCCTCAGGCCTCTCATTGCTCTAGTACAGCAGGGCAGGGGAGCCATAATCCATCCCAGTTTATTCCTACCATCATTCTCTGGAGTGTCTCTACTCCCTGTTTGGGGATATATCTATTCATAACGCCCCACTGATGTCTTCTGTCACCCTATTGAATTGTTCTTAACATTAGCCACTTTTCTTTTGCAAAACTTACCCTACTCTCATGTAAGGTGGCAACAGACCTTGAATACAAATGTCCCTTATTCCACCCCATCTGTATATTATGCAAATCACCCATGAAAAATCAAGTCAAGCATATAGGTGCCTAACTATGGAATTTCCTGCTGACATACCTTTTGACAATTTTGGCAGACTTCTTTACATTTCTCTTGGACCGTGTATTTTTTCCACAAGTATGTGATCTCTGTTGCTCTTTTGGATTCTATTTCATTATTCTCCATTCCACAGTAATTTGTACTGTATTTCAAAGCTCTGAACTAAGTTGGAACTTAGCAGTGATCACTAGAAGAGACTGCTTTGGACCCAAAAACCCCGAGGAAGTTCAGATCTAGATCCACATTTCATAGATGGTTCTTATTAATATAATGGGCTGAATGAACCAAAACCCTGGATCCAAACATCCTTAAGCTTTGTGATCCAGATCCAAACTTTGTGATGGAGTCCATCTCTATTCTCTAGTCTTACAAGCAATGTCCAGATTATATGTTATGATGTAAGATGCTATAAAGTTTTTATTGATACTAACCTGGATCAAGAGTATTACAAAATAAGTGGCAATAAAACTGTTCTAGTACCTCACACAATGAAATAGTTGGTGTCTGTCAAACAGGTTCAGTGTATTCACTTCTCTTTCGTTTGCATTTTTCCTTTCTTTAGATACTCTCTGTCTTTTCTACTTTGAAGTATTTAGTTACTATGGCAATGGTACCATCAGCAGGCAGGGTGGAGTTTAGTGACATTTACATGAGCAGGATAAAATATATTTATAGGATGTTTCAAAATGCATATTGCAGTTTGTGAAACAAAAGGATCTGCAGTAGCTTTCATGAGCAGGAAAGTTGCATAAATCTCAGGATTCCAGTGTGGTAAATTATCCTTTTAGGTGTTGGCTTTTTCAGGTACCTTCTCGTTAGTCTGTCAACATATAATTTGACACATTTTATTTGTATTATTCATCAAGTCTATACTTCGATGCTAAAGTTAATTAATGACAATAGCCACGTTTATATTCATTAAGATACAAAACATTCAAAAGAGTGGTAAACCCTCTGGCTTCAGAACATAAGCCCTTAACTAATTGATGAAGGTGAGGAAGGAGCTCTCTCTTGAGCTGGTTATTCTATAACTGTTTCTGCTGGGAATCTTCTTCAAAAACTTCTAGTGCCAGGCCTTGCCAGACACTGAACACTGGGCTAAAGGAACTGCTGGTCTGATGCTGTCTTTCAGTTCCTGTGTTCTTTGCCACATCTTCTAAATTTGCTTAGTCTTTAGTTCTACTGTTGTTGGAATAACTAATCCTTGGTGTTGATTCAGTGCCTTCCAAAACACATCACAATATTAAAGACATGGATTTCAGAAGAGGCCTGAAGGGAAGTATTATTATCCCTATTTTATAGATAGGGAAACTGAAGAACAGAGTGGCTGAATAATTCTCCTAAAGTCACACAAAGGTGGCTCAGATCTGTGGGCTTCCATTCCCAAGACATCCACTCAGGCTTTGCCAACCCATGAAAGCTCAGGGCTATGTCTACACTGGCGTGTTCTCACACAAAAACTCTTTTGCAGAAGAGTTCTTCTGCAAAACTCTTCCAGAAGAGAGTGTCTACACTGGCATGTGCTTTTGCGCAAGAGCATCCACGCCAGTGTAGACGCTCTCTTGCGCAAGAAAGCTCTGATGACCATTTTAACCATAGGGCTTTCTTGCGCAAAACATTCATGTTGCATGTCTACACTGGCCTCTTGCGCAAGAACAGTTGTGCAAAAGGGCTTATTCCTGAGCAGGAGCATCAGAGTTCTGGCGCAAGAAGTCCTGATTTCACACATTAGAACGTCAGTTTACTTGTGCAAGAACACGCGGCCAGTGTGTAGACAGGCAGTAAGTTTTTGTGCAAGAGCGGCTGCTTTTGCGCAAGATCACGCCAGTGTAGACACAGCCCAGGTGTATAGAATCACAGCATTTTCTGTATAATCAGTACATTGAAGCTCTATGCAGCCAGATTTGCAGTTACTGGGATGATGGTATGAAAATACCAATCCCATGGGTGAGCCTTGTAAACAAAACATACTAAAAGTTAAAGTTGTTCTGATCATATATTACAAAAACTAAGGGAGCTAGTACATACATAACCTCTACTAGTATGAATTCTGGTCTCATAATTCTCAGTCTATTTATCCTCAGGATACCTCTGTGAGGTGGAAGTACCATTATCCCTGTTATTTACATGGAAAACTGAGGCATGGGGTGCCTAAGGCCTAGATCAGGGCTACTCAACTTTGGAAGCCCCGGGGGCCACAGTGATACTCATAGCACGTGCCAAGGGCCGCAACTTAAGTGTGGTTGCGTATACATGCAAATATATATGCAAATAACTTCTTTCACACTGGCGGGTATGAATACAAAGATTAAGGCAAGACCACACAACACACAGGCCCCATTTAAGTCAGTTCTGCTGATATTAATAAAATGCAATATTTACCCGATTTCCACCCATATGACAGCACTCTTAATGAGCACTGACAGTCCAGGAATTTAACTACTAAAATTCATATCAGCAGAAAATCATTATATTCGCTTTTTTATTTTGGCTCCCACCCGTGGGCCGCATGTTGAGCCCCACGTAAATCTAAAGCGCACCATGGGCCACAAACAAATGGGCTGTGGGGCACATGTGGCCCACGACACATGTTGAGTAGTCCTGGCCTACATCCATAAGGGGACTTTGGCTGTGGGGGTGCCCTCAGCCATTTTGCCAGTCAGCCGAAGATAAAAAAGATTACATATCCAGACAATCAGAAAGAAAGGAAAAGAAAAGAATAGATTAGTTGGGCACCCCTGAAAGTTGGCACCCAAGATATCTGCCCCTACACCCAACCCCGCTTACCCCTCTCAGCACTCAACTAATCCCAGCTACCTAACTTTTAGGCCCTTTGAAAAATCTCTGGAGTGGCCGGAATAAAGTCTCTACTCTCCCTGTACAATGGCTGGAGGGAGAAAGTTGACTGACAAAAGCCAGCATAGTTGGCTATTTTAGATGTCTGTAGAGAGGGGTATCTTCTAAACTCTGCCCCTCTCACAGAGGTAGGTGCCTAAGTCTAGGTTGCAGGGAGGCACCTGGGTCTCCTTGCAATCCCCAAACAGGAACCTCTCACCTCTGCTACATCAAACTACTTTCCTCCTCCCCCGTAAAGGGGATTAGAGGGTACTTCAAAGTGGCAGCACCGTGTGGAGCCCGGACTCAGCTGGGGAGTCCTCAGCTGATCCCGGGCTCTGTGCGGTGCTGCCACTTTGAAATGCTGCGCAGAGCCCAGGATCAGCTGGGGAGTCCCCAGCTGATCCCAGGTTCCATGGAAATGCTATGGTCCCCCTGCTGACCCCTGGCTCCATGTGAGCGCTTCTGCTTTGAAATGCACAAGAGCCTCTGGGAAATGCATTTCAAAGCAGAAGTGTCTGCGTGGAGCCCAGTGTCAGAGAGACTTCCCGCTGGCAAGCAGAGTTCCAACTTTCAAGAGCCCCTACTCTTGAACCAAAGGAGGAGTAAGAAGTGCCTATCAACTAGTCAATTAGTTGATGGAAGTTCCATTGGCTACTTGACTGGTAAATTAATCAATATTTAACATCCTTAGCCCCAAGTCAGTAAAGCACTTAAACAAAGTTCCCAATTAATTCTAAAGATTTCAAGAACTGCTGCAGACTGCAAATACAATGGATCATTCTTTCAGGAAGATACATCTTACTAAAGACAATCTAATAATGTGGAATTATCAAATCTACTCATTCTAGTGGTTGATTCTCCAGAAAGACGGGAAACCACTTTACTTCTCGACAGTGCAAATTCTGTTCTGTTGGGCATCTTTTTCTAGAACATTATCTGATACTATTGGTATCACTTCCAAAACCATTGTGTAACATCCATGCCAGACAGTTACTGCAGGGGATAAAGCAAGTCATTCATTCAGTGTACTACATTGCTCTTTCAGCTCTGAATAGAAAGGGATACAGGTTTTCATTGCTTTATTTATTACTGAGTTAAAATGTTTGTATTAAAAAGTTTGAAGGGTTTGTTTTAGGTGATTCTGGTTATTTCTCAAAACCTTATGTTAGACTTGCCATTATGGTTATTACTTGGTAATTGTATCATAACATATTTTTACGTCGACTGTATCTGAGGCTTGCACAATGTACTTGTTTTTCTGAACACAATTCTGACGTCTCTCAACATATAATTTGACACATTTTATTTGTATTACTCATCAAGTCTATTTACTATAGCGTTTTCTACTAAAACTGTTAGGGAAGGGTCCGATCCTGCAAGGTCCTGGGAGCTTGCAATATGTTTGCAATGAAGAGCAGGTTCTTCAGATTCCATGAACATGAAGGAACAGTACCATGTCAAGGCCAAAGTGGTATTTCAGGCAAGAAACACTATGCAAAGAACTGCTGACCTCTTTTGAATCTACAAAAAAAATCCGTATTTTAAATGCCTGTACAAAGCATTCAAAAAGATCAAGTGTTTTTCTCGCCAGCTCTGCAACTTCTCCCCTGATATTGAGATGGAGACAGCTTTGCTGGCCCCTGTGATCGTATGCTTGTTAAGATAGTCCATAGACACATTGAGCAAAGTATGCAACTACTACGTGTGAACAGCTGTGACTTAACAAATGACTGGTTACTGAACAATACTTGAAAAAGTATTCCTGTTACAGACTAACTTGGCTACCTTTCTGAAGCTTTTGAACCATAGTTGGTCATGGTAGTTACTTTAAAAGCCTGTAGGTTTCTCCCATCCCCATTGTCCAAACTCCAGACACAGTAAGGCAGGGGTGGGGAACCTCAGGCCAGGGAACCGGATGTGGCTTCCGGCTTGCATGGATCTGGCCCCTGAAGCTCAGGGGCTCCCCCAGCATGGGGGAGCCTGTGCTGGTGCTCCAGCCTCTCCTTCCCCTGCACTATAGGGCTGGAGCACACAAAATCTACCAGGATGGGTCCCCCTAGGCTGTGGTGTGGGAGGAGAATGGGGGAAGTGTCTTTCTCTTCTCAGTTGAGGACCAAGTCAGTGAGGGGTTTTGTTTTGTTTATTTTTATTTTTTTTGCTTTTCACTTGTGTGTGGCCTCCAAGTGATTTTTCTGCGGGTCAGTGGCCCCCAATCAAAAAACGTTTCCCCGACCCTGCAGTAAAGTGTATACAATTGGGATGAGGGGAGGGGAGAGATGGAGGAACTCTAGGAACTAAACCTTAATCCAGGTGGTGTTAATGTTACTATTGCTGCCATAGAACAGTCTTCTTGAAACTTTCTGGGCCATGTTTTGAAGTTTTACCTTCCAGAAAGAGGTGGGGAGGAGAGATCAGAACTGAGCAGCAGTGGTCTTACAAGAAACACTGGCATTAAGTGAATACATATTTAGTACTTTCCTTACAACTCATTTCCTTCAGCCTTCTGGTCATTTTGCTATTGTCCTCTGAATACCTCCTGTTTGTGGTAATCTCTCTGGGTGTGTCAACACTGCAGGGCTTAACTCGAAATAAGATACACACATTGAGCTATGTCA